TAGGGCTCTTTCTAGAGCATTGCAAAAGGTGGCTGGAATGCGTTATACTGACTTTCTGTAAATTCAATAATTTTTCTTTTGCTTCCCCTGTAATACCTACTTTCCATTGTTAAGCTTTGCTTTCCAGCAGTGGATGCCATGCGTTTTTATGTGATGCAAAGGAATGTAATTAGGAGCAAAAGAAAAAGGAAAATGCTGTATGGGAGGTCTTCTTGTAAGAAAGATTGTCGTTGTCCCATCACTGCAGGGCCTTCGTCACTACTTAGGACAAAAACATGGGAAAATATGGACCAACTCTCTTCTGTTTCATAAGCTTCAATTCCTCAGCATATTTCCTACCCCAAAATGAAATATTCAGATGAAACTGTCTTGGCCTCCTAACTTCCTTTTCTTGCTTCCAGTTGACTGCTTAGCCTGGACTTCCTTCACCTCTCTCACTAGGCTGAATGTCTTACATGACACATGTGGCCACTAAACAGCTGAAGTAAAATATCGTCTGAAATTATGGAGCCAGAAATTATTAAAAAAACCTAAAACATAAAATCAACAACCCTAACCTCCTTTATTCTGTGTATTTAAAGCTTATCAAGTTCATTAGCACCTTCTAAATGTCTGCAATATTCAACTTGCCCTTCTGTGGGATTCTCCACGTTCTTGTGGCTATAGGAAGGATGCTGAGCAAGGGGATTATGTGATTTAAGGGAGTGTTTTTCTCTTTAATTCCCAAGATTTTTTTCCTCGTGAGTTGGCGTGTGTCTGAGTTTTAGTGGGCTTAAAATTGCTCTCCTTTGAAGGTTCATTTGGTCAACAGCCCCTGCAATGTACACCAACTGTAAAGTGTTCATTGTGACTAATGGTCTCCTTCCAGCAACTTAAAATAGTGCTGCTTTTTCTGTTCACATCTATGAATGCTGGTGAGGATTTTGGAAAGCCAGCCACAAGGCATAGATATAGGTTGCTTCTATTCAGCAGTAAAAATACTATTGGTATCTTCAAGTTAGACTGTATTTCCATGTGTCTATGTCTCATATATAGAAGCAGTATTCTAATATATAGAAATAGCTTTAGTTCTAATATTTGGATTATATTTTCTTTAAAAAAAGTTAAGGAGAAACCTAAAATATAGTATCTTTTTTTGAAAGAGTAGATTTAATAAGTGCTAATGCGGGAAAGTAAATTAGAAAACACCATCCATGAAAAATAGAAGAATTACTTATTTATTTTCCCAAACTCCTAATCAGTTAATTATTATATGTTATTTGTACAAGCATAGAACCTATAAATCCTGCTAATCCTGCTGAATAACTGCAAGCAACAAGACAAAAAAAAGGAGATTGTGCCCAGAAATAACCATCTGTGTAAAAGATGAAAGGAAATTCCTGAATGAGCTGGGGAGGACACAAAAAAAATCAAGGAGATGCTGTGGTTCACCACGATAGGCAGTGATCTCTAACATGTCAACACCTTTGTGAAGCCTTTGTGGGCATCACACCAAGGAAACGCTTGAAGGAGGGAGTAAAGCAACATAACTCTTCCAAGAACCAATGGGCAGCATGAGCAACAGCTTGGAAAAAAGCTTGCTTTGAACGCAAACAGATGGGTGGTAGATGTTCTTAGACGCCTGGTAGAGGTGAGCACAGCCTTCCAGTGCAGAACCAGAGAGGAAAAGACACAGGAGGACAGACTGCAGGAGGGGCTGAGAGCAACAAAATGTGTCAGGCATTACATTTCCATATTTCTTGTGTGACGGCATGAAGTCAGAATTCATTAAAGCCTTTTTATAGGTACAGTAGCAACACCATATGGAAGATTTCTGTCTGGCTGTGGCCACATTATAGTCTCTGAAGAATACCATGTGTGTTCAGTATAAAGTCTGTGACACTGAAACTCTAGATGTGTGGAAGGGATATACACACAGAATTAAATTTATCTAGTACACAAGCAGTTATTTCCTGGGGGGAGGGGGGGGTAATGGATTGAGCTTGGCCAGATGCCCCCCATTCACTGTCTTGTTCCCCTACCTCAACAGGATAGGAGAAAGTAAGAGATAAAGCTCATGGAGTGAAATAAAGAGAGGGACATCACTCACCAGTCACCACTACAGCAAAGTTTATTGAGTGAGGCCACAGTGCCACTGTCTTATTAACAGATATCTCCAAAAAATACTTGTGTTTCATATGCTGCTTCTTAACACAGCATGAAACCCAACCTGGGGAAAATGACCACTTCCATTCCCATTCTCAAAACTGCCTTTCCAAATGGCCATTGCAGGGAGGCAGGAAGGAAAAGGAGTCTCTCTCCATTGTCATTACAGAGGCTGCATTAGGTGTGGTAGATCCCATTGTTGAATTAACCTCTTCAGTCTGCACAGAACAGCGTGGAGGAGCAGCCTTGGATGAAAACTCCCAGTCTGAATTTCATATCTCTAAATGGATAAAAACCTGCCTGCCCAAACATCTGTAAACTCAGGAATGCAAATAACCCAAAACATGGGTTTGTTGCTGCCATTGTTGATAAATATCAAAATACTCTAATTCCACCAAACCAGGGAGTGTTTGGAGCTCTCCATCATGTGAAGCCCAATTCAAAGCATAAGATATAATAAGAAAACAAATGCAAGTCTCGGTGCAGATTGCAGCTCTGGGGCTGAAACCTTTTCCATTTTCAGTTCAGCTAATTGGTTTCCAATTGCCTCTTTCATTTCACTGCGTCCAAATGCTCATTTTCAAATCTGGGAGCAACTGCATTACTAACTCTGTAAAACAGAAATATTTTTATTTAGCTTGTTGATTATCTGAAGCATTTTTCTGGTATCAGTGAACTTAGAGCTGCTTATGACACTGACAACTAGAGTTACTTGATTTACATTACTCCTACAAAATGTAAACCTAAAAGGTTCCAGTTGGTTCCTCCTCTGTTGTAGTCATGTTGTAAGTTTGTCACTTGAAATTACCATTAAGGCAGGACAAATAACTTGATGTCAAAAATGTTTTAGATTTGAAAGGAATTTGCATCAAGGAATGATGCAGGTTTTGCAGGCTGTCTACACCCATATGGCGTGTCACACACGTCCCTCAGATGCATGTGTTTGATGTGTGTCTTCTAATCAGCTCTCCCCTGCCAGCCCAGAATAAGAATTATTTACAGGTTTGTTATGGTAGACTGTGGACATTTTTATTTGTTTCCTAGGTATTTTCATGCTGAAGAAGACTTGTTATTTGGACTAGAGGTTTACCCCAGTGCCCATGTTTTCGGTTGGCCGGGCTGAGGTTGTCTGTGCCCAGCCTTCATGACCTGCTCTGTGCCTGCTCACACCACTGAGTTCTGTGTGAACTTCAGAAGTTCTTACTTGAACCAACGAGCTCTTGACTCCCATTTCAGTCTCATCAGGGAAGACAAAATGCATCAATTAAACTTGATATATTTAATGTAGAAGCAAAGCTGAGCACTAGTAGCATCTGAGGTAGTATTAACCACAAAAATAAGAACAGCACTAATACAGTTTATGAGCTGAAGATTGTTAATATTTCCCTGAAGAAACTTTTACATTTTTGTTTGCCTGATTTGTGATGCTCTCCTCTTTCATGTTAATATTCCGGTTTTCTCTTTTACTTAACTACCTGGAGAATGTCTGATGAGTGCGTTTATGTTTAACTGAGTACTTAGAAGAATTAATGCTATTTTACACCTCTCAAAGGTAATTATGTTTTAAAATTAGCTGATTTTTATTTTAGTTCTTCTGTCTAATAAGTTAGATGGCAGCAATAATAAAATTACCATTGTGTTTTCTATCTCCTCTTCCCTTAGCTGGCCATGTTACTTACAAAGAAGCCTTTGTCAACCAGCAAAATTTCGTTGTTCAAAGGCAGCACACATCATGTACAGTGCATGAAATTCAGTCTCTTTTCAGTTATCTTATGTAACAGCATTATGGAAATCTGGATAAAATCTGAATATGGTAATCCAAAAATATATATATCTATATCTATCTGTTTTATATATACCCTTTGCACATTTTGAGTTGTAGGTTATTTTTATGTTTCCTTTTTTGTCAAGTAATACTTTTATGATAAAGATTTAAAAATGTTATGTTAAAGCTATATAGGTTCCTAACATATGAGCAGACTTTGATGCACTTATATCTTTAGACCATCATAGTTACATCCAGCTTGTTGTTATAAAGAAAAATAGCAATAGTTTTGAGAAATTGAATGAGATTCAGAAATGCTCAGATTACTAAAAAAATGTGTTAAAAGGATTGGGACGGAGCTCAGTGCATTTACTTTTTAGCAGGCAAGGCTCTGAGATACTGATTACAATCTGTGCATATCTTTTCGAGGAACAGGAGACTGGTAATGGGAAGAAAAACTGGTGATGACAAAGAAATGATCCACCACACTGGAGATTGGAGCTACTGGACGCTAGACTTGAATTAGATTGTTTTTCTGAACAGAGAGAATACTCATTAATCACAGGAGCACCGACAGGAAGGGTGATTTCTAGAAGTTGTTCCCATGTGAACACAGATAAATTGGAGGAATCTGGTGGTGTGTGTTATAGAGGTCACACTGCAAGTTCTGAGAAAATCTGTTTTCTCTCTGAGTTATGGCCAGTGTGGATGTGTTAGAGGTGGTACAACCTATGGAAGGACAGTGTGATCTCTGGATGAGATCAACCAAATATGGTTGGTCTGGTGTCAGGTCTCCTCAGGGTGTGATTGCTCTCTGAACTTAAATGTTTTGCTGATACTCCTAATGCCCTAATTCCTTTATGTGTGATAGGCAGGCAGAAAAATCACTGCTACATCATGAGAAGAAAGTAAAGTTCAGTTATTCTCCTCCTCATTTCTCAGTAATATTGTTGGTGGGAAATCACTCTCGAGGAGACAAGACAATCTCACTCTCGAGGAGAAAAGACAACGCAGAAAGAATTGTATCCTCCTGAATACACCATCTAAGGAGTCTTTCTGCTGTGCCTTTTGCAATCGGATATGTCTGACTCGTATTGGCCTCGTAAGTCACCAACGTGCCTGTAACAAACGTGGATAGAGCCTTCCTAAATCTTCGTTCGCGAAGCCCAGCCATGTTGTTGTTGTTGTTGTTGTTGTTGTTGTTGGGAAATTATTGTAACCAGCATACGTAGGTCTCACTTTTTCCAGAGTGGGAGCTCCACCCACAGGCACGTGATTCATCCCATGGCATGACTTAGATTGAAGATAAGAATGTTACAGTTTTCATTTTTTTTCCAATGCAAGCTTAATGCCGTAGGCTGAGTTTTCCAGAGGACATTAAAAAAGTCAATGCTTAGTGATGGTAAGAATTGTTCCTACTGTATGTCAAGACCTTTTGTAAATACAGATTTGGTTTATTCATTCCATTTTATTTTCTTTCTAAATTGACATCTTCTATACAAGTTTTTAGTGATCAAAGAGAAGGATGTAGGATTCCTTTTTTTTTTTTTTTCTATTCATACCTCACTGGAGTTAGTACAATATTGGAAGAACATTATAAAGATTCAGACTCTTGGTTGGTTATTGACTCATTCTACCAGTGAACCTGCTTTCGATAAAAAATTCTTGTTACTCTGCATTTAATAGGTACTGAAAACAATCCAGTGAATGGAATTAATAAAGTTGGAATATTAAATACTTAAGAGGAAGTGGTGGCAATTTAAGTCATAGTTTTCTTTTGTTGCAAGTGAACAACCAGCCAGAAGCAGAAATGTCCGTTTTGGATATAAAAAGCTTGAGAATTCTTCTTGGTAGCCAGTGGTGTACATGATCATTTTTAATGTGAGTAAAAGTGACTTTATAGCCTTGAGGAACAGTACTTCTGTTTCACATATGGGATGTCTCTTTTGCAAACAGAAAGCTACATCGGGGCACACACATGTAAAAATATCCGTATTTATGAGTGCCTGTGAATGTAGTTTGAAATGTTTTGGTATATGGATTTAATACTGCTATTAAAATTATATTAAATGTAAAAATTATTACTGACCAATGAGTAGTAATATATATTTACTGATTGTTACTAATCAGTGGTACATGAAATACTGTGTTTTCTGTACATCATGTTGTCCCTCCTGAGAGTATCTCAGATACCACTATGTTACAAACTCCAATGTGGACTTCTAATAAACATACACTTCAAAAATATTTATAGCAGTATTTCTAACTTCAGATCCCACATCTGGGCTAACCATGATCAGCTTTCTACCATGGAGTTTCAACAAGAAGTACCAACTACACTCCAGGGACAAAAGGTTGGCGAGTTACTGGAAAAGGGAAAATAATCTCTCTGTGGGGATACAGAGAAGAGAAAGAAAAGTTTGATCTGGCTTTTAGCAGCTTCTTCTCTTTTTCAACTCCTAATTGATTTCTGCAGTTCTTACCCTCTTACAAATCTTTTCTTATATGTAATTATATATTTGGCTTATAGTCCAAAGTAGAATGGTGAACCCAACAGTGGGAGCTAATAATCATGTGTATTAGAAGATATACACTGAAATTGAAATTGATCTTTCTGGAAGAAAAATATGAAAACTGTTTTTTTTCTTCTTAGATCTGTGCTTCGAAGTGCTAAGTCATACTGATCAGCATGGGTTTATTGCATTATTTCAACAGTGGAGAGAATTAAATGAATGATGACTGAAGAGGACGTTTATATGACATTCAATTATTTAACGATGTAAACTGTCAGAGTATTTTATTCCAAGACTCTAAAAGCTGAATTTTGAAACCAATGTAGTGAAGTCATTGGAATTGAATTTTTCATTAGCTTTAATGACTTTTTTCAGTGGTTATTGTATAGGTCATCTGCAAAATGCAGTAATTAAAGCCCTGGTGGTAATTAGAACTTACGGAAAATATCTGAAACTGAGTTGGAGAATAATGTCTGTCTTGATGCCACAGGACTAGAGCAAAAACATGCTCTGTTTTCAGTTACCATGCTTTCCTTTCTCTGGTGGGAGCCACTGGGAAATAATTTCTCAGAAATTATGTGTGCCTTCTGCCACGTTATATTTCAGGTTTTTTTGAGTTGTTTTTTTTTTTCCAGTAAAATTTTGCTTTCTAATATCAGAAATGTGTTTCTCTGCCAGATAACGCTCTTTCTCAGCCTTGGACATTCCATGTATACACTTCATGCACACAGGCTCAAACATTTTGACCATTGTTGTGTGAAAATGAGCAGATGCCCATTTTTGCCTTGAACCTTTATGTTCCCTCACTCTTCAGTCTTGCTTTTAAAGGGTGTAAATATCAGAACATGGTGTAAAATACCTTACCTCAAGGAAATCGGTGTCTATCCTTTGATTCAACAGTCTTTGGTGATTCAGGTTAATTGATGTTCCTCAGCATTTGTTTGATTTTGACCCCCAATGATTCACTGTGTTTACAATCTTAGGAGGACTGTCCAGTGGATAGGGTGCTAGACTAAGAGTCAAGAAACCTTGATTTTCTGCCCAGCTGAATGAACACAACTTTCTGTGTCTGTGTAACAGAGGGTTGTCTTCCCCTTTGAGGAACTTCGAGTCTGGCAATGAAAAAAAAAAACCAATCGAAAGGCCCCTTTGTTATTATTTTACTTGAGACTTTACTGGGAAAAAATGCACCTAACTTAGTCTCTTAAATGCACTCTTAGGTTGATTTTGTTCTCTGCCACTCATTTATTTTGAGTTGTAGCAGTCACTTAATGATATGTTCCTTGCTTTTTGTCTGTAGAGATAAAGGTCTACGGAAAAGATGATCCTGCACTGCTGTGCTTCACAACACCTCAATGACTTAAAATTACTGAACAATTTTAAGTAGGGATGATGTTAAAGCCCATCAATATAGTGTCAAGGTGCCCATCAAGTGCTTAAAATTGAGGATAGGTTTTCTATTTCAAGTACAGGGGCAGAAAGAAAAAGAGAAAAAGCGGCTGTTTCTGGTATTATGGGCTGCTGTCCCAGAAATGAACTATCACTGGAGGTGATGACGTAATCCCATTATCCTGTTTGAAGATGCTTTGAGACCGTTGAATATGCATAGTGCTCTCTTTCAAGGGCCAGCTGTGAAATGAAAAGGTGTGTAATGTGCTTGTTGGGTAGACCCGAGAAAGCTAAATGTAGTTGAGATGTTTTTTGGTTAGTTTGTTTTCTTTTTGGCATCTTGAAAAACAGATGAGATCTGCCTTATTTGTTCCATTAGTATGCAAAAATTATAACTCTTAGCTTGTGGGGGGAGGGGGGTGTCCTCGGGAAATAAAGTTATTGTTTTGGGTTTTTCCTGGGTTTTGAATCATCTATTCAAGTGATTCTATTCAAGGTCCTTGCTTACAAATCAAAATCCCAAAATGTGAAGCAGAATTGTAATTTCTTGGAAATCACTCTTTATTTTTGCTCATGTTTTTACAAAGCACTCTAGTCTCAGGGAAGGGTATTATTAGTACTTCAGGTTTCTAATTTTTTAGTACTGTTTGGCTTCAGAATCAGTGAAAATTCATTCCTGGGTAAGCCTGTTTTGAGTTTATAGTAAAAAGGGATTTAAAGTTTGCAGATGTTCCACTTTTGGAAGCAGGTCAGACTAGAACTACAAACTTGATTTTATACCCTAAAAGGTCAAAGAGATTGGAGAGTTTTTACCAAAAATACTTTACCAACAGATTGACTTGTCTTCAGAGAAAGCTGCCAGTTAAAAAACTCCCTGTGATATTTATTTATGCATTTTGGTTCTAGATGGCAGAAGTCACGGGACCATGTCATGTTCCTGTTGGAATTAAGGGGATCTGTCCTTCATCAGCAAGTGACATTGTGGCTGGGAGAAGCTTTTCACTCTGCCAATATGTCACTAAGCACTCAGGAGCCCAGCTCTGAAGATCTGACTCAGAGTCTACCTCAGGCAAGAGTAAATGGAGACCTTGCCTGAGGAATGACTGACTATTTCATATAGTAATCCCTAGGATATAATGTGATTTGTAGTAAATGAAGGGAAGTGGATTCCTCATAAAGTTCTGACACCCAATTCCCATTGGCTCACCCAGGGAGAATTTATTTCTTCCTGTCTGATCTTGTCTGCAGACCCGTGAAAATCCTGCTTTGTGCCACTGGCATGCTGAGAGGTTGATTGGCAGCTTCTCTCTGCTGTTTGGGGAGGAATGCTTTGGTGCAGAGGAACGTTCATTAAAACTGTTTTATGCCACCTGAGTTGCATTTCAGAAAACTGAGGAACTTTTGGGAGATGGGTAAAGTTACAGAAAACTACTATTGGCCTTACGTTTTGTTTTCATTCATCATGGCTGGGCTTCGCGAACGAAGATCTGGGGAGGGCTCTACCCACGTTTGTTACAAGCGCGCTGGTGGCTAAAAAGGCCAATACGAGACAGGCATGTCCGGTTGCAAAAGGCACAGCAGAAAGACTCCTTAGATGGTACATTCTGCAAGGCACGATTCTTTCCGCATTGTCTTTTCTCCTTGAGAGTGATCCTGTGTGCTTTCTCAAAAGCATCAGCAGCGTTTTAGATGGTGTGTCTCCAGGTCTCCCGATTGGAGGCCAGAGTAGACCAGTTATGGTGATCAATATGGCCAAGGCTGAGGTGTTGTTTCAGGGAGTCCTTGTGTCTTCTCTTCAGGGCTCCTCTCATGCGGCAGCCGGTGGCAAGTTCACCATAAAGCAGGATCTTAGGGAGGCGGTGGTCCTTCATCCTTGAGATGTGTCCTGCCCAACGCAGCTGTGTTCTCAGCAACGTGGCCTCAATGCTTGTGACAGCTGCTTGTTCTAGAACAGATGTATTGGTCACATAATCTGACCAGTGGATGTTTAGGATTGTACAGAGGCAGCGTTGATGGAAGCGTTCTAGGAGACGCAGGTGGTGGCGGTAGATGACCCATGATTCGGAACCATATAAAAGAGTAGACAACACTATGACTCTGTAAACACTGATCTTTGTACTTTCCTTCAAATGTTTATTTCGCCAAACTCTTTTATGAAGCTTTCCGAAAGCACTATATGCCTTTGCTAACCTGTTGTCTATCTCTCCGTCAATCTTACCATCTGAGGAGATGAGGCTGCCTAGGTAATTAAACTGCTGGACTGATTTGAGCACTGATTGGCCAATGGTGATGTGGGGATGAAGGAAGACTTCCTGAGGTGCAGGTTGATAGAGAACTTCTATCTTCTTTAAACTGACTTCCAGCCCAAAGAGCTCAGCAGCATCTGCAAAGCAGGATGTTAAACTCTGCAGAGCTGCTTCTGTGTGGGCAACAAGGGCGGCGTCATCAGCATAAAGCAGCTCCCGGACAAGATGGTTTAAGGTATTAGTGTGGGCCTTCAGTCGCCTTAGGTTGAAATGTTTCATAGGTGTTTTGTGAAGAAACTTTCAAAGGGCTTGGTACCATTTTTCACCCTCTGTTGGAAAATTCAAGGGTTTTTTTTAAACACTAGGTTTGTTGGAACCAAGGCAGAAGAAATAAAAGGGTGTGTTACCGAATATTTTTCCTCCCGCTTCCACAGTACCAGGAGATGAAGCTCTTTCCTTTCCTTCTGAAGTGTAGAGGTAGTGCTGGACTAGATGAGTCTTTTATGCAATTCAGCGTCTGATTTCCGCTAAATGAACTTCCATGAAATTACATTACTGATGTATATGAATAGCTTCTGCCAAAGGATCCTATGTTTGTGATGCTTTAAAAATGCTTAGTGACTTTAACGTGTGTTTTTTAAATTTAGAATGATTGGCTACTACCATAGCACGTAGGAGAAAGAAACAGGCACAATTCCTTCCACTTGAAGACAGTAGGATGTAGTGGATTTGGGTCATAGCTGTCAGCAGCTAAAAGTTGCAAGCCTTGGTGAGGAATCCAAGAAAGGATGGAAATACCTATCACAACATCAACATTGCTTCCCAACCTGTCCAATGTTTTGAGCCTTCTAGATTCCTCCTGTGACTGCTGTGCATGCTATTTTGGTGGTAATAGCTTTGACATAACAGTCTCTATTCATATACTGAAATGATGGATTCCTTTCAACAGAGGATGTAAAGATAAGTGAAATTTCAGGTTTCCAAGTCACGGTGGGGAAATTGTTACATCTTCCCATCTGGACAAAAGCAATTTTAGAGAACCAATTGAAAGTTCCAGTTGGAGATATTTTTGTCTGGATAATGATACTTTGCAACCTAGATTCCCTTTTAATTTTTTTTAACTGAATTGCCATCAGGAGGGAAAAAAGAGTAGCCTTGTGGCTGGTTTTCCCAGTGGATACTGCCTTGGACAACCTGCCTTTGTCTAAATTGTGAACTTAGTCCACCAGTGAGAGAGCAGCAAGGAGTTGCCAAGGCAGAACTCAAGCAAGCAAGGGCAAGAAGTGTGTATCAGGATGCTTTCCCAACTCCTCTTCATAGAGTCACTAGGATCTGTACTCAAAAGGGTGGATAACAAGGCAGTTGAAAGTTATTTTGGGTAGGAAAAAAACCAAACTACCCTGAATCCTTTCTGTTATTGTGCTCATAGTTGAAAGAACTGTTTGGCCACCCAGTTCTCAGATAAAGAAGTTTGAGGTTTGATTGGAACCTCAGTTCTTTAGGATGATTTTCTCCTATGTAAGTACAAACTGTCAAAAGTCAATGTTTGAAGCATTTGACATTTGAAAACTCTGTTTTCACTGATATTTGGAACTGCCTTTGAGCAAAGGTAGCATTGTGTTCCCTTTTAAATGTATAGTTTTAATTATTTAGGGGTTTAATTTGCAAGGTAAATTCTCTGTGCAGTTATGATTGTGTTAAATCTATCTGCTAAATTATTGTGCTTGCTTTCAGACTGTTCCTTAGAAAGATTGTTTTGGTTTTCTGAGAGAATGATGATCGAATTTATGACTGTGTTCCCTATAGCGACATCAATTATTCCAATAAAGGCCAAATAAAAAGGGCTATTTACTTGTTTTCTCAGACAAAGACTTGCTGGGACTTTCAAGTAGCTCAGATGTCTGGCTCACAGCAAGACTCTGTAACACAATGAATTCTCATGCTGCCTTCACATGTGTACCCACACTATTCATTAGAGAGGTCCATGAAAAAGCAATTGTTGATGCCCTGGACACCAACTTGCTATCATGCTTTTTGTAGACTGTTTTCCCAAATAATGCAGTTCAATGCAATGGAACTTAAAATAGGAGTCAACAGTGTTGAAAATGGTTTTGGTGTTTCATTGAGCAAGTGTCACTTTAGCAGGAATGTATCTTTGGTCTGCTGGACTAAAATAAATTTGTTACTATTGAATGTGAAAAACTAGGAAGCTCCCTGCTGTTTATTTTGCAGGAGCAAAGATTGTTGTTTTCTTTCTTTGTTGTTGGAGTTTACTGTGTCCTTATACAGAGTAGAGAGACATGAAAGGTAGTGTTTTTAAAGGATGGAGGAATGTATAATTCTGCTGATATGAGGCAATTCTTTTCTGTATGAATAGAAGGAATAGAGGCCTCATCCTCATCATGTGCCAAGTGGCTACTTAAGGCTTAAGAGTAAGACAAGATCACCTTGCTGATTCACTCGGGGTCTGCTAAGTTATCACTTTTGATCCATTTATTGCACAGCTGATGATTGCTTGGCATCAAAGCTACACAAGTTAAATTTCTCAGATGTCCTTTATAAAAACTACAAGGAGAATTATAATTAACATGGTATTTGGTTAGATTTTTTGTTTGGTTGTTTCCTAAGAAACTTCATCTTCATTGTCTGTCTCACTTTGAACATGATTTCCCTTGGCCTAAAACAAGGGAAATGATCTCCCCAGTGTAATATTTTCCTTTGATTAAAATTGTGTAACTCATGCTGATAGTAGTAACATGTTTTGTAGGTTTTTTTCTTTATCTGTACCACTCAAAGGGCTCCATAAAGTGGCAGGTGGAGGCTGAGGTGTCACAGTGGTACCAGTGCCTTTAGATCTGCTCTGGAGCCTGCTCATGGTTGGTGTTGATGGAACTCATTTTTCAGCCATGCGTTGCTCATTGCTGGTGAAACGTCTTTATCCACAGCATGTTTTAAGCACTTAAGATGAAACAAAACTTGAGTTTCTCTAGGTTCTTTATTTTCTGGAAGTAGGAGATGAAAAGTTGGAGCAAACAGTACAACAACAGTACATAAGGGGTAGCCTGACTTTTTTCCAAAGTCTGATAGACTAATGATATAAATGAAATAAAGTTTGTAAGAAGAGGTCATCTCTCTACAAACCCTTCATTCTCATTAATATGCAGTCCTGTTCCCTGTAATACAGAAAACATAATCATGAACCAAAATGTCTGTTCCCTTTGAGCTTTGTCACCTCAGGCTTTACAGTGTTATTTCATTTTGGTTCTCATTTAAGAAACTACTCAAGTACTGTTTCTAAAAGAGGTTTGGAATGTTAATTAGGTCCAATAGGTCTATGCTGAGGCCATCAAATTAATTTTGCTTCTGTCCTATGTAGATATGAGTCTCAGCTTCGTGAATTGAAAAAGCTATTGCATTATACACCAAACGTTGGGTCCTGGAACCTCTCTGTAGTGTGTTTATAGTACTTATCTGCCCCAAAGAAATAATTCTGCTCATTCAGGGTGTTTAAAACACCTACTTTACAGAAGAAGGCAGTCTTCTCTTTTTACTTCTGATTTGTGGCAGAGGTCTAATTAAAGTTAAAGTGAAATAATAAATACATTCTTAGTTAAACCACAGGACTTTTACAAGGGCTTCAGAATTCCTGGACATCAAAAAAAATGATGAGTAGAGTCCAGCATACCACCTGCATCTAAAATACTGCACAAAGTTGTATATTAACTGACAGGAGGGGGGACTTTGTGTCATTGGTGTTAGAAGTCCATTTGGATCATACCAGAGAGAGGGGTGTGACATTAAAGCATCTAGAAGATACTTTGACAGGTTTGCATACAGGGCCAAAGGGGACAACAGTCATGAGCAAAAGCTAAAGGGAAGCGTTATTCATGTGAGCCAAAAAAGGCACATAAGTATGCAAACTGTTTTGTAAATGAATGAAATTACGAGTTTCAACCATTATTGCAACTTTCCTTGTAAAGGAACTCTGGACCATGGGGCTGTTGTGCATTTTATGAGGCAGAGAGGACTAGATTTGTCTCAGTTCTCCTTTGGTTCACTTCCCTGCAGTGCCTTTGGCTCTGAGCTGCCTCGGGCCTTCACGTCATTTGTGTGCACCAGGTTATGCTTCACATCTCCTTCTGCCTCACATACAGCTCAAGAGTATCTCAAATACCCACCTAGGAAACCTAATTCATGAAAGTCATGTCAGTTGGGAAGGACAGACTTAAAACCTTCCTAAAAATTAACTGTCCCTGTCCCTAATTTGGGATTTATTAAGGGGAGATAAGCAGTAATTGCTTGATGACACTGGGAGTTCTTACAGTTTATTTAATTAATGAATGACTGTAGATGTACTGAGAACATCTGATAAAAGGTACCCAAGACATAGAAAATATAGTTGTTTTAATGTCTTATTGCAAGGACCCTTTCTTCAAATTAATATCCCTGGGATAATATAATTGTCATGATAGTCAATTAGAAGTCCATGTGGTTCCTCTGTAATTCTTTCTTCTTTCCTAATTGTCACCTCAGGAAGAAATTATTTCAGTTACATTTCTCACAGCCAAGTTGTAAACTGTAAGTTCAGCTAAACGGAAACTAGTAAAGGAATGCAGTAAGAAGATGCAGTTTTATGTGTGATGTTGGGAAATACAGTATAATTGGGATTTCTCTCAGAGGGAGGAAAAATAAAAGTGTTGCTCTGTAACACAAAAAAAAAAAAAAAGAGAA